CTGATCCGTACCATGCTTTGTTGCATTGAATAAAAGTGAAAAGTTGAACTACAACAATAAGCAAGATGTTAAAAAGGAAACGGAGTATAAAATGTTGTTTATGTAAGTCTGCCGTATGTATCGGAACAACGAAAGAAATGAGCTAATATATGTTAAGTTGTGCACCACATAGGAGAATCCGCGTTTAGCATCTTGCTTATTTAAGTGGGGATTGATTTGTAATGGAGGGTACATATGGTTTTGGTAACCGTATAATGGACATGATCACTGGAAGCCTTTGTAATGGATGGAACAGGTAGTGTGTATAAGCGTGGGAAGTGCGGTGTAAAGCTCTCTCTCTTTCTCTCTCTCTCTCTATACATATATATATTAATGGAAATGTGTTAGCAATATGGAGGAACCGGCAAAGGAAAACACTCAGTCCGTTAGGTTTACCTCACATATAAACTATCCTGATGCGCTTAAGCGTCGGACGACCGTAGATCGCGAGGTATGTCGAAGTGTACGTGTACGTAGAGTCCGATCGCGAATAGAGCAGGCAGCGACGCGCACAATCACAACATCCCAGCGGTAACCAAGGTAGAACCACGGAAGACGAGCTCGTAAACCAAGCGTATGTATATATAGTTAATTAAAACAAAGCTGTACAACAACTGCAGCAAAATAGGTAAACGTGAAAATGAGAAATAAGCAAATTATTTACAATCGCTACAGTAAGCGAACATTATGTTTATGTTTGCCAGCATAACAAACGTGAAATCTCCTCGATATCGCATTTCTCAGGTGGTATGCATAAATCATGCATGAGTACATAGGCTTATAGGGAACCGATAATTACCATCCGAAATAGCTTCTTACGATATATCGTATATCCCACGCAAACCTAAAAAAGCTCTAGAGGCTGTTATGTAAAGGCTATATACATGTTATAAGGGCATATAGTATTATGCTTATGCATAATACATATATGTATATATATATATATATATATATATATATATATATATGAACGTAACTGGCAATTTATATGGATACGGGGATATTGCACTAAAATGCCGTTGTGTGTAAGCATCTATAGGTTATTGTACATGGTATAGGAGGTTGATAAGATCATACGTAACAAATGAGAACGTCAAATAATTAATCTGTGTACGTCTGTATACCGACGCATGATGTATGCATGATACCTGTTAAATGGTGGACGGAATATATATCCTGTTTGGTATGTTGAGTGGGAAGCAAGTTATCGTCCATTATGCGATATAAATTAGCGGACGAAGAGGAGTAATATATATATATATACGTATGGATATATGTATATATATATATATTTAGTCATTTATTTATATCTCTATGTGTTTGGACTGCCTCCGTTTGTTATTAGAATAATCGGAGGGTTCGCAATTACCTTTGGTGAGTGCCATAGCCTTTAATCACGCAAGGGAAAATGAGTTCCCATGGATTGATTGCATGTGAGCATGTAAGTGCGTAATCCGTGATTTTTGAGGTGAAGAGGTGCTATGCGGCGAAGTGGTTTCTGGAAACGGTGTTAATGGTGTAACGAATATGGCGTAGGTAAGGGTGACGGACTTAATCAATGGTATTTTGTGAAGTAGGGGAAATGGAAATATGTAAACCTTCCGGCCAAAGCCGACTGATACCTAGGTGTCTGCGTGTACTAAGGTGAAGAGAGATGACAGTGGATTTAACGTTAATGATATATATGTGTAGCATTTGGGTTCTTGCATAGTGCAGTAACACAACCTAATGAATGGGATGTAAACTTTTTGCGCAAGATGTTGACTACATAATGCTGACGGATGTACATGACTGTTGTACTGAGGTAGGCTAACCCTTGGTAAGTTGCTGTAGGATTATATGAGAGGTTCGCAGACGGGACGCTCAAACTATAGGCAAATATTCTCGTATAAGTGGGGAGGGTTCCGAACGCTCTTCACCCACCAGTCAAGGATACTGAAAAATGGTTCATCAAATATGGTGACGGTAGGAGGGGACGACGCATCCAGACGACCATTGCTAAGTGTGAGTGCAGTACAGAAACAGGGTTTAGGAATAATGGACGGGGTACAACGGCATGTTAGTGGTTGAAAATATGTGCAGAAGGGGAACTTACCACGTTCTTATTGGAGGAGCATGTTGTTCGCATAGGCCGAAGGGTTACGCACACGTCTTGATGTATGAAATGCACCATATTTTGTCTGAAGATTACGGAGCCACCCACGGAACCTGTGAGCTTGTAGTACGCTGCAAGGAGATAGCGGAGTTCGCATATATCCTATGGGCTGTGGGAAGACAAGACACAGAATCGGGGGGTGGCCCTGAAAAGGGCCGTTGCCCCGTTCTCTAAGGAATGCGAAACCTGTAGGAACTAGAAGTCGAAGGAAGACCGGACAAGGTGCTGTGGTAGAACACCTCGAATGCACGTACGTTATATGGGATCTGAAAGAGAAATCAGGATGGACAAGGAATGTTACCTGTGGCCGGCTATCATGGCGTTATCACACGGCGACCGCGGTACGTGGGAGGAGGCTCTGTGGCAGCCTCAGGTGGTAAGTCTATGGGCGGCACAGCAGTGGCTCTGAAAAAGAGGTGAGCATGGAAAAACGATGTTACCTGTGGCTAAGTATCATCGCTGCACCACATGGCGGCGGCAGTACGTGGGAGGAGGCACTGTGGCAGCGTGAGGCGGTAAGTCAATGGACGGCGCATGTCACTGTGGTTGTGAAACATATGTGAGCATGGAAGATGTATGTTACCTGTATCTAGATTTCAATGCTGCACCCCTCTTACCTTCCTTGTTACAGAACGGAAGGCGTGAGGAACGCCGCCGCATGTCCCGCATAATGTATACCCGGCAGAATACTATGTTCCCAATGGGGTACGCATTCCGAAATGCATTCACTTGTGCGGTGCACTTGTCCACCACCAAAGTCCATGCACCGGCAACCGCGGGGACCAATTCCAACATACCGCTGGCTGCCCCTTCGTAAGCAACTTCCGTCTCATTTGGCAACAGCGCATAAAAGAAACTCATACCCAGGCCGCTAACGTCCACAAACAGGCAGTGCCATAGAATGTAGCCGCCGTAATTGATCTGATATGTGGAGTCGGCCAAAAATACTTCCCTGTATTGGCACACCAACTCCAGCATGCGAGAAGGGGCGAAAAGCTGGTAACGAATCTCATTGGCCTCATGAATAATTTTCACCTGACCATTTCTTTGCAATAGCTGCGTTAACTCCTTCACCTCGGTGACACATGCGTTACGATGACACCACCGTATGGCATACAAATCCCTCCTTGTTAAACGAACGTCATATTGCTGCCGCACAAATGCACGCATTTCCTGGGTACGACGAAAGGTTTTCATTCAGTTAAGCGCCATCCGTTCCCGATCTTCTGTTAGCCTCCGATTTCTCACATACAGCCACGGCTTTCCAACGTGAAAACTGTGCGAATGGAATAGATACGCATTCCCAACCTCGTAACATTCCCCCTCAAACGTCACAGAAAGACGCGCAGGGCAATCGTAACAGCGGGATCTATGGTAATCTTCTCATCAGGCAAATGATATGCCGCCTCACGCTGCCACAGTGCCTCCTCCCACGTACTGCCGCCGCCATGTGGTGCAGCGATGCTACTTAGCCACAGGTAACATCGTTTTTCCATGCTCACCTCTTTTTCAGAGCCATTGCTGCGCTTTCCATGCACTCATGCAAACAAAATATACCGGTATGGGCATCTTTCCCGTAGCACCTGTCCGGTCTCCCTCTGGTACGCCTTCGCAATTACAACGTTCCGACGAACAAACGATGTTGCCGTTTCAATCGGAAACACTTTCAGATTCTTGTTTACCGATGTGAAGTCCAGACTAGGACCCTTAAGCATACGTCGGAATACAAGCGATTCATCCACCATGGCTGCTACGCGGGAAGCGGGAAAATGATTTACCCTCGTAACGCATTTAAACACCTTAATAGATTGATTACTAATTGAGGTCGTAGCATTTCAGCAAGCTTCCTAAATTATTAATAAACATTACTATCAGTTCAACGGATTAAAATTTACATCAAGCACCACCGTGTGTACCGGAATCACACTGCCGTAAGAACATTATTTCCAAGTCTCGGATGGGACGCTCCCAACTTGGTTGCTGCTGGTTTGATGTGATTGTGCGCTTCGCTGCCTGCTCCATTCGTGATCGGACTCTACGTACACGTACACTTCGTCGTACCTCGGGATTTACGATCGTCCGACGCTTAGGCGCATCAGGATATTTTATATGTGAGGTAAACCTGACTGACTGTTGTTCAAGGTCACGGCGTGCTTGTCGTGTTTCACCGCTCGTGATTTTCTTTACTGAAGTCCTTGTTTGATAACAGTAGTTGAATATCTCTACATAGAAAATTTGACTTTGTCGGTTTTCTTGTACTCTGAAAGTACTTGGAAGTGCCAACATACTCGGAATCTATTGCGTACCTTCTTTTGTCGCGACTTGGTTGTCGTGTTTCTCCGCTTGAGTTTTCCTTCTCGGAAGCCTTTTGTGGAAACAGTGTGAATAACTCTGAGCATAAACTGCCAGTGTACCAGCGTTTGAGGATCTTACATTGTTTGCCTACTGTTCGTGGTTTTCTCCTCGAAATATTGGCCTCTGTTTGAAGACTTCAACGCAAAAGATTCCGGCCTTTATCGATATCTCATCGATCGAGTACAAATCGGGTTGATATTCGACCGCGCGAAGCTGATCAATCCCTTGCTCCTGCAGTCTCCCAGCTCCATCGGAGAACAGCTTTTGGAGGGTATTCTACAGAAAAGCCTGTTCTGGTCTTCGTTGCTAATTTTCCTGTTCTGGTGAGTCCAAATCTGGGCACACGAATCACTCCGGGTTCTATCTGATTGCTGCTTACGTTGTCTGCATTGTAGCCTACCGTACCCCGGTTCACGTTCCTATTATCTGTTAAAGTTTTTCATCTTTCGTTATGGTAAAGATATCCAGTTCCAAGTCTCCCTCGGACCCATTAACCGATTCGTCAGCTGTTTGTGGTAAAGCGAGTTGCTCAAAACCAGTTACTGGTTCTTCTGGGGGCATGCAATGTGACCTCTGCAGTTCTTGGTTCCATGAGGCTTGCACTGGGTTGGATAGACAGCAGTATACCCTCCTACAAAACAGCGATAATTTGCCTTATAATTGCCCTGGTTGTGTGGGGCACAAAGCATATCGTCTAGTCCCAAATGACGAATTTGAAACTCTGGTAAATAGAGTTGGTACCCTTCTATCTTTGTTTAGTTCTTTAGAGGGGAAGGTTGATCAAATCGTCGTAAGCCTTGAACTTGCAGGCCTTCTCAGAACAAGCGTGCGTTCAGACGTGCGTTCGGACGATTGCATAAATAGTACGGCTTCGAAGGATCCACCAACTCTTGAGGCGGCGCCTGAAGATGATAAACATACTGACGTTATATTGAACTCAGTTGTTGGTGGGGAAGTTGTACAGACCAGTGTATCTGCGAAGGCAAAGCGGCGCAAGATAAAGAAATCCATCAGTACAACGAAACCCAAGCTAAGAGATGTAACGGTGGGCTCTGTCGATACTCCGTCCCCGGAAACGAAGGCCGAAAACCCTTCCACCTCATTGCCGAAATCCTTCTCCTATGCACCGGCTGTTCCTACTAAGGAGGATATGAACTCAAGCGCTGCGCCGGCCACTGCTACTGTGACGCGTGCCGTAAACACCCCTCGTCGTAGTGATGCATTTACGGACTGCAGCGTTATCTTCAGGAATATCTCGGAGTCCTCTGCGACTCTTCCGAAAGATCGCATGCTTGACGACCTTCATTGGTTCAAACTTTGCGTTTCTAAACTACTTCCACCCGGGTTTCCTGGGGTTACTGTTAGAAAACTTACTAGGCTTGGAAACATATCGGGTGATAGTACTAAATGTAGACCCCGTCTATTACGCGTGGTACTATCTACACCGGAGGAGCGCCAAGCTCTTTTGCGCTTCGCCTTTAAACTAAAGGGTTCCGGAGTGAGTATACAGCCGGATCTACCTTTGGCAGATAGGATAAAGCTTAAAGAAGCCATCAAAAACCTTAAAGCGCGTCGCGAAGCTGGCGAGAAAGGTTTATGTTTGGTGGGTTTTCGGGTGGTGAGCCGACGGTCCACTTCCGCCCTACCAGAGCCCATTCTGGTAGCACACGACCCGGGGCTCTCCATACCAAACGTTTTCACATAGTTCTTAGTAATGTGCGTAGCCTGCGAAACAAGATGTGTGAAGTGGGGGCCCTAATAGACCACTCCCATCCTGATGTACTCGCGTTCACTGAAACCTGGTTGTCATCTGACGTCATGGACAGTGAATTATACGTTCCGGGCTACGCAATACTGAGATCTGACCGCCCATCTGATCGCCGTGGCGGTGGTGTCGCCTTGTATATCAGATGTGGTGTAAACATATCCAAAACACATACCTTTAACTCAGCTGATAAAACTGTGGAAGCTCTTTCAGTTGAAGTCTGTACCGAATCAACGCAATTTAAAATTGTGCTACTGTATAGGAGCCCTGATAGCGCTTCTAGGAGTTTCATTGACTTCATCCGCACTCACTCTGCGAACAGATGCTTGATAATGGGGGACTTCAACTTCCCTGAAGTAAATTGGCATGACTTATCTTGTGAGGCAGCGACAACAGGGTTGGCTGCCGAGCTTGTTGACTTGACACTAGAAGTACCCTTACACCAATTTGTCGATCGACCCACCAGGTACATGGTGGGTCAAGCTCCTTCTCTGTTGGACCTGGTTTTCGCAAAGTCGGTTGACTTTGTGAGTGACCTTGAGTACGGCCCCCCTTTGGGAGCCAGTGACCATACGTGTTTGTCATTCACTTGTGCTCTCATTAGAGACTACGATTCACGCAGGGTCCCGACTCCGAACATTTGGCACGCCGACTTTCCGTCTATTAGAGCCAAGGCAGTAAGTTTCCCATGCATCATCTTGCCGGATGATGATATACAGACGGCTTGGGATACGTTTAAGTCTTTCCTCTTTAACATATCCCACCCCCACATCCCTCTTTCGCTAAAGAAGGGTGCCAAAGCGAAGCCACCATGGTTAGACTCAGTCGCACACCAGCTAATGAATAGACGGGCAAGATGCTGGCGGATCTACCGAACAGTTCTCTCAGAATGTACTTTTCGGCGCTATCGGGAAGCTCGGAATGCTTGCAAGAGTCATTTACGAGCTGCTAGACTTAGCTATGAGATGGAGCTGGCTAACTCAGCCTCCGCGAATCCCAAAAGATTCTTCGCCTACGTCAAAAGGCGTAGTAACGTTGGCTCATCTATCCCAGTGTTATTAGGCAGCGACGGCGCCACTGCCACCACTGATCATGAAAAAGCATGTCTACTGAGTGCGCAGTATGCCGGAACTTTTGTTCAGGATGAGCAATTGCCGCATCTTGACCTAGCAATGAGAGTCCCCCAGGACTCCTGTTTAACACACGTCACAATTTCGGAGGCAAAAGTTCTCCATCTTCTTCAGGCTCTAAATCCTGCTAAATCCGCTGGGATGGATGATATTCACCCTAAGCTTCTGTACGAACTAGCGAGCGAGCTATGTGGCCCAGTGACTCGTTTGTTTCAATTGTCGCTTCGCAGCTGCTCCTTTCCTAAGGACTGGAAGGATGCTATCGTTTGCCCGATTTTTAAAAAGGGCGACAAGCATCTTCCTGCCAATTATAGACCAGTAAGTTTGACAAGCGTACTGGTCAAGGTATTGGAGAAGTTGGTCAGTGATGTGCTTGAGGACCACCTGCGGGAGTATGGTCTGCTCAGTCCACTGCAACACGGCTTTCGCAAGGGTCATTCCTGTATGACTAATTTGCTAGTTGCACGCGAATGTTGGGCGGATGCTTTGGATCGGGGTCATGCAGTAGATGTCGTGTTTATTGACTTCTCCAAGGCGTTCGACACTGTATCACATTCTCGCCTTTCCTTGAAACTTCGGTCCTATGGAATATCCGGGGGTATACTAAAATGGATCACCACGTTTCTGGAAGGGAGAGAGATGTGTGTTCGTGTCGGGTCTAGTCTGTCTTTCCGACAGTCAGTCCTCAGTGGGGTCCCTCAGGGTTCGGTGCTTGGCCCGTTGTTATTTTCCTTGTATGTCAACGAGCTGCCCGAACTGCTGGAGGTACCATCTCTCATGTTTGCAGATGACCTAAAGTTTTGGCACATAGTGTCTGACCTCGATGGACCCCAGATTCTGCAACGGGCCCTCAATCAACTTTGGGACTGGGCTGCTCTGTGGCAGTTGCCCATAAACTATGCAAAGTGTACCATCTTACGAGTAGGGCCAAATAGCCCCCAAACGCGTTATTTTCTTGGTGGTAATGAACTCCACCATGTTACACAATTGGTAGACCTAGGGGTCACATTGTCTTCAGAACTTAAATCCAGTGAGAACTGGAGGAAAGCTACGTGCAAGGGTTTCAGAATGTTGTGGATGATCCGCAGGGCATTCGGGACCATCACGGGCGCTATGTTTGTTAGGTTATTCTCAGCGTTTGTCAGGCCACACTTGGAATACTGCATCCAGGCTTGTCCACCTTGCTTAGTCAGGGACAGGATGTCAGTGGAGAGTGTTGAGAGTTGGAACCAAACTGGTCCATGGACTGCGGAACCTTTCTTACCCGGAAAGACTACTTGCGCTGGGAATGTTCTCGATGCACTATCGTCAACATCGAGGCGACCTAGTCTTGACCTATCGGATACTTACCGGTAAAATCGGACCCGATTTATCCGGGCTTTTCCAACCGGCTCGGCTTCCATCGCTCCGAGGTCACTCGCTGAAGCTACACAAACCTCGATCGGATGGGGTTCGGGCGGACTTTCGTTTATCACGCCGAGTGGTGGATTCCTGGAATGCACTGCCCGAAAACGTGGTATTGGCACCAACAGTGAAAGAGTTCGAACACCGACTCGACGCTCTTGGCCTTCAGTTCTTAACATTCCCCTTCACTTCCTAGTTTATTCGTTTTATTGAATTATTAAATCTATTTTTTCTTGACGCTCTTATTACTTTCGTACTTCTCTTTCTTATTTCACGTGACCGGTGCGGCGGGGACTGCCAGTGCAGGTCGCGTGGGTATTAATTGGTTGACCGTGGTGTGATTCGCGCGCGCTGATCTGACTCTTCTGGATTCCAGTTATCGCGAACGAATAATACCCTGGATCGACGACGCGTCACTGAAGGAACATTCACGGGGATTTATCCTACTGTTCCGGTCCCACTTGAACTTGAACTTGAACTTGACTGAGTATTCTCCTTTGCCGGTTCCTCCGTAACAGGTTTACGAACTTTCTACAGTGACTGGTATTAGTTTGCGGCGAATCTGGTGACTAGGCTTGTGGTGGAGCTGAAAAGGTGGGCGTCGTTACAGGTGGCTCTGTAGATTGCGTTAAAGTCGATGATGGAACAAACTGTTGTTGATCGATGAACGCAGGCTTGACGCGATCTATCGAGACAGTATCTTTTTTACCCCCACAGTCAATCACCAAAGCTTTTGAAGACCTTTTAATAACACGGTATGGACCTGTGTAAAGTGTGAAGAGAGGCTGTCTCACTTGGTCGACACGTAAGAATACGTGGGAACATGTAGAAAGGTCTTTCGGGACGTGCACTGGAGTGCGTTGTTCCCTGGGTCTCGCGGGGTGCAGCTGACGCATGTGGTGCGTCAAACGAGCTATGTAGTTCTTGTAGTTCCATACCCTCTCCGGGGTTGGGGCGACTAATTGTTCAGGGAGACGCAATGTGCAGCCATAAACGAGTTCGGCCGGAGCAGCGCTAATGTCGGTTTTGACAGTATTCCGTAAGCCAAGTAAAACGGTGGGAAGCGCTTCGAACCAGTCTGCGTTATTATGTGCACATAGTGCAGCTTTCAGCTGGCGGTGAAAACGCTCAATCATGCCGTTGGCGGCAGGCTGGAATGCAGTCGTTTGGACGTGACGGCAGCCGAGACTCTGAAGAAGGTGAGCAAATGTGCCTGCGAAGTGCAAACCTCGATCAGTTGTCACAACGGCAGGACAACCAAAGTATGAGACCCATCGCTCTAGAAAAGCGAGAGCGACAGTGTCTGATGAGCAATCTGGCATTGGGATGGCATCAGGCCATCTTGTAAAGCGGTCTATACAAGTCAGCAAGTAAACGCATCCTTTAGATGGGGGCAGTAGCCCAACAAGGTCAACATGAATATGGTGAAAACGGGCATCAAGAAGTGGAAATGAACCAAGCGGACTTCTCGTGTGTCGATGCACCTTAAACTGTTGGCAACTAAGGCAGTACGAGCCCACTGTCTAACGTCCCGGTTGGCGTGGCGCCACACGAAGCCTTGTGTGACGAGCTTAACTGTGGCACGAATGCCTGGATGCGATAAACTGTGAAGAATGTCAAACACAGTGCGTCGGAAAGCTTGAGGAACCACTGGTCGTGGTGAATTTTGCGAAACGTCGCAAAGTATGGTTCCATACGAAGTAGGCAGTGGAACTGGTCGTATGCGTAAGGAGCTAGAGTTACGAAGCTGATCCAGCTCCGGGTCGGTTTGTTGAACAGCAACCATTGCCGCTAGATCGATACCTTCAGCGGACGTGATGGAGCTGACGCGAGAAAGAGCATCAGCGACGGAGTTCTGCACACCCGAGACGTGCTGTATGTCTGACGTAAACTGTGAGATATAGTCCAGATGGCGTATCTCTCTCGGAGAGTATCTGTCGGATGACGAGTCGAGGGTGTAAACTAAAGGTTTGTAGTCAGTGAAGACGGTAAAGCTTCTGCCCTCTAGAAAAGGACGAAAATGACGGGTGGCGTGGTAAACTGCCAGAAGTTCTTTTCCGAATGTGCTGTAACGTGTCTCCGCTGGCTGCAACCATTTCGAAAAGAAACCATGTATTGCCATGTATTGTCGACAGCCTGCTGAAGAACAGCACCAACGGCCTCTTCTGAGGCATCAGTGACGAGAGAAATTAAGCACCTGTCCAGTCTCCATTTGGTAAGCTTTCGCACTTTTAAGGCTCCGACGAATGAACGATGTCTCGGTTTCCATCTGAAAAAGTTTCAGATCCTCATTCATCGATGAAAGGTCCAGATATGCACCCTTGAAAATACGTCAGAATGCACAAGAGTCATCCACCATGGCTGCTTTCGCTAGAAACGTGAAATGGTTAAACACCGTAACCCATT